GCTGAATCGGATGACAACGACCTCGAGGACCTCGGCGAAGAAGATGTTGAACAGCAGTGAGGATAGCACATATCCTTGTCGCACGCCCTGTGTCACGAAGAACCAGTCCGATAGTTCTCCGTCGTCCATGCGCACCCGGGCCCGCATTGCATCGTGGAATTGACGGATGACTTCGATCAGCTTCGCGGGAATCCCGGCCCTGGCCAGCACCTTCCATAGCATCTCTCGGTCCACCGAATCATACTCCTTGTTCAAGTCGACGAAGCACATGTAGAGCGGTATTTTCTTTCTCCGCCCTAGCTTCTGGAGGCGGCGCACGACGAACAGCATGTCGACGGTGGATCCGCACTGTTGCTCCGGGAGGATGTTGTTGGCTTCGCAGAAGGCGCTTAGACGGTTAGTGATGATCTTGATGGGGACCTTGCCTACGTGAGATAGTAGCGAAATCCCCCTGTAGTTGTTACAGTTGGACCGGTCACCCTTCTTGTACAGCACCTTGATGGTTGCATCCTTCTCCCCTCTCGCCGGATATCTCCTCCGTTTCACACCTTGACGAGGATGGTATGGAGGTGTCCCAGGACGAAGGGTTCGTCGTCATCGATCTTGAGCAACTCGGCAGGGAGGGAGTCATGGCCGGGTGCCTTCCAGTTCTTGAGGCCTTTCGTTGCCCGTGCCACCTCCTCGAGTTCTGGCACATCTCCCAACCGTTGAGTGTCACGTGTCGCTGGCCGCTGCGTCACTCGTTCGATGATGTCTGGGTTCAGGGTGGGGGATTTGGTGTTGAGTAGGGTGCTGAAGAATCTCGCCCACCGCTGGAGGATGTCGTCCCTGTTCCGGAGCAGCACGCCGTTCTCATCCGCGACGAACTGCTGTCCCCCCGCTTGTCTCCCGCTGAGGCCCACTGATCTCTTGAGGTGTTGGTACAGTCCTCGCATGTCGCGATCTTTGCAGATTTCTTGGAGCTCAGTCACATATCCGCCCAGGTGGGCATAAATGCCCGTTTCGACTGCTGTAGCCACTCCCTTACACGCTGCTTTGAGAACCCTCCACGTCGCTGAGTTCCAGTTGCCCCTCATCGCCCGGCGCGCTTCCCGACGTTTGGTAAGGGCCTGCTCCAGCGCTGCTCGCGTCTCTGGGGTCTCACACCACTCCTGCGTGCGGCGTCTCCGCGGTTCCTCCCCCAGGGTCGTCCGCGCTGCGTCGAGGAGAGCATTGGTAAGGTCGGTCGCCAATTCCGCGGCGGTGGTTGTTCGCTCGTCCGGTCGTGTGTCGACGTTAAGGAGGAACCGATTAGTCACCGCGCACCGTGCTGCTTCGAACCGCAAGTCCCGACGGTTGAATTGCTTCTGTTTCGGTTTAGTCCGGACTGCACGGTTGTGGGCAAGCCTGCCACCGAGGTTGACGGTGGCTACTACCATATTGTGGTCTGAGTCTGTTTTGACTGGGCGAACCGGCTGGGGGATGACGACCACGTTAGATATTCGGCCGTGATGTGCCTGCCTTGTCAGGATGTAGTCAAGGCGCTTGCAATCGTTTCCCGACACACCGTTGTATGTGTGCCATATTCCGCCCTTGCGTGTCTCAAAGAACGTGTTCGTGAGAGCTAGCCTGTTTTCCGTTGCGAAGTTCAACAGTAGCATGCCATTGTCGTTGAGCTCATCACGCCCGTACATTCATATTACCCTTCCGTCCCCTCTGTCCAACCTATCTCCCGTCCGCGAGTTGGCGTCCATTAGGACATACACACATTCTTGGAAGGGATCCTCCGCACGAGACTGTAAAGTTTTCCCCAGAACACGCGCTTGCTGTCGGCGGTTGAAGGTTCGGTTGGAGCATACGCGGCCACGAAGTTGACCGCTCCACGGTGGCCTGCCAACAGAAACCTCATGGCCATAAGGCGTTCGTCGATAAACTCCGTAGTGAACGTGGATGTCTTGCACAGTGACTCTTTGACGGCTATCCCCACACCATGGACTCCACCAGTCTCCGTGCCACAGCAGAACACCCGGAAACCCGCTGCTGCAAATTCCGTTCGACCTGCCCTCCGTGTCTCCTGCATTCCTACCATAGCGGCGTCAACTATTTTTTTCATGTACCCACTTGTCTTGAGTCTCTAGGAGTATATTTTGACCCACTTTTTTCCAAATTGTACACACTTTTGTCCACTTACGGACAGCGGAAATCGAGCGGGAATCGGCCTCCACGTCACCGCACGGCAGAACATCGAATAGCCTCGGAACGTATCAGAACCTCCCAGCACCGTATCCATCAGCTCGTATTCATGGCATCGTTCCTATCTATCCATGATGAGCCTATCCATGGCTGCCGACTGCGGACCGACCGCGGGATATTTAGGTCGGATTTCACTTCGTAACATGTACTTCGAAGTATGTAGACTAGTGTATACGAATACCACCCTCAACATCACGTAGTTGCGTGGTAAACTTCCTCGACCTGCTGCTGCTGCTGCCCTCACGAGTCGGTGTGCACTCGTAGTTGTGGTTGGTGTTTTTTTGCGTGTGTGTGTGTGTCTGTATTGCTGGTTGCACGTCTTTTTGTTCTCATGCGCGCCAGTTGGTTTTGTTGTCCGTTGTTTGTCACGCATTTATATGTGGCGTGTCATTAGTGAGCTGCTCGCCGGGCTTGCCGCGGGTAGGTACCTTCCCGTGCCGGTACCAAAGGGGTCTCGGGCATGTTTCTGACATGTTCCTCCGCGGTCGGTCCGCAGTCGGCAGCCATGGATAGAAAATATGTCATGGATACGGTGCTGGGAGATTCTGATACGTTCCGAGGCTATTCGATGTTGTAAGTGTGGGTAGTAAGGACCACCCTCCTATTAGGGACCACTTTTTTCAAAAAAACATATCTTACCGATACCATGGCGGAAAGCCTTTCTGTTTTTTTTGTTCGTGTTGCTATGGACCTCACCTTTCATTTAAGCCTAAGCTTTACTCAATTTGGTGGAGGACTTCGTTCTACACAGCATTCTGCGCCAGGTGATGTATGCAAATATATATTTTGTTTTGGTGCTGTGTGGTGGCTCCGCCTAAGCCAGGTCAGAATATTGGCCTATACAGCAGTGTATGAATACCCTCAACTCAGTGTGAGCGAGGTCCCAAAATGGCGAGGTGGTATATGCCTACTACCGAAGGCTGGCTNAAATATATATTTTGTTTTGGTGCTGTGTGGTGGCTCCGCCTAAGCCAGGTCAGAATATTGGCCTATACAGCAGTGTATGAATACCCTCAACTCAGTGTGAGCGAGGTCCCAAAATGGCGAGGTGGTATATGCCTAC